TGTGATGAGAGGAAGTTGGCAAGTATTCATCTGAACAGCCGTGAGGGGAGCTGGACATGGTCAGCAGAGAGGGCGAGGGCCGGATGATTTCATCTTTAATGTCATCTTCCGCATCGACCAGAATGGGCTCCTTCCTGAGGCTCAGCGAGCTCATCAGAGGCGGTTTCTTACTCTCCCAGTAGCTGTCATAGGCATCCACTGACTTGGAGGGCTTGCTGACCTTGGGCTTGTAGTAGTCCTTGGAGGCGCGCTCGCTGGCCGATTTCTGGAGCACCATGCGCGCCATGGACGCGTTCAGGCTCTCCTTGCACTCCAGGCGCCGCCGCATGGCCTCCGAGCAGCCCCGCACGTCCTCGCTGCTGCTCTTGCGCTCCTGCACCACGTCCACCTCGGAATAGCCCTTGTCCTTCACCTGCAGGTGGATCTCCAGAAGCTGCTCACACTCCACTTTGGCCAGGAAGAGCTCAAATGAAATCATTTTCACCTGAATGGCGTCGACCTGCTCTTTGAGCTTAAACGTTGTTCCCAGCTCCTGGACATAGCCCATGTAGTTCAGAATCTGCCTCACGTCATCTTCCGTTAGAGCAGACTTCACATAATAAACAAAGGGTCCAGTGTAGGTCTGAGGGGCCCGGGGAAATAAAAGGAAAACTAGGTTACAAATTCAGTGGTGGACGAGATGTTCAGATAATTCAGTGACAGAGACCATATAATTAAATACAACAATAACAACTCTGAACGCATGCAACTGCCTTGGCAAGATGAGCTCCATGTCCGCGTCCCTCCTGCTCAGCAGATGGAAATTCCACATGAGGGAAATTCAAAGTAGGAGAGTTTTCATTCAATTTAAAATCCTGATTAGCATAATGTCCTCCCTGGTGATTTAAATCGCTCTGCTCTGCACTGACATTAACTATAATGCATACCAGACATACTTGAATTTACAGAAAGTGTACCATGAAAGGCAAAAAGGCCAGGATTTGGGAACTATCCCACGCAGGGACAAGCTGGAGCTAACAGGAACTCAGAATTACTGCAGGAGTGCCAAAGTCCAATTCAGCTTTAAATATACTTGAGGTGCACCCTTCTTTGTGTACTGTTACTATGCAGTTTCAAATGTTAGTTTTATTTAATTTAATTCAAAAACTTTGACTAAAAGAGCCCCAAAAGCAGAGACATGAGTTTCTGCAAGCTGAAATCCCCTCAGCATCTGGCACACCTGAAGGATGTGCTTAGCCCAGTCCAGCCTGTTCTGAGTGCAGGCAGGAGCAGTCTGCCCACCACAGGCAAAAGACAAAACACAAAACTCAACTGCAGAGAGCTCCCAATGGGACTGCAGCACCCAATACCAGAAATGAGATCCCACTTCTCCCTCTGGGAACCTGCCTTGGGTAGATACATTTGAAAGCACCTAAAAATCAAAACATCAGGAACTGAGCACTGACAAGCAGATCAAAGATACTCTGAAAACAACCCCTTTGCAGAAGTTCCTTCACCATTATCATACAACTTGTGGGAACCTCAGCAAAACATCCACTTGAACACACGCCCTGGGTTTAATACTTGTGTCCAGTAACAGCTGTGGCAAGACAAATCAAACTCTGAGTCAGCTCAAATCCAGCCTGACCACTCACCATAGTGAAAGCCTCTCCAAGTAGAAATAAAACAGTGCAGCAGGGGAGGCTGAACAACAACCTTAAATAAGCTCTTCTCCTACTTTATACACTCTAATTGCAGAAAGTGCTTGTAGTTCTGCTCTAGGGATACTCTCATCAGCACAAACTTCACTTATTTTACACAGGAACTTTCCTATGGCTTCTGTTTAACTACTGTAATATATAACCATATATATATATATATATATATATATATATATATATATATATATCATGCTGTAAATGGAAAAAAGAGAAGCCGTTAAAGGAAACAAATGAAATGCATTCACAGAAAGAAAAATAAACCATGTTCTCGTGATGGCTACATAGAAAAGTCTTACCTTAATGTTCTTGAACTCCTTTTTCCAGGGGTACAGAAAGAGATTAATCCCAACTGTCTCAAGCATGTTGAATGCATTATGGAGACAATGTAAACTTGAGGATTTCACAGATCTCAGTGAGTTTTCAGCCATCTCGTAGAATTTGATCAGCCGGAATCGATAAAAGGGATCAATTTTGGGAAGGCAAAGTAAGGCTGCTGCTGCCACTCGCAAGTACTCATCGTTAATAGGACGCTGCTTGTTGTCAGAGGCATTCAGCTTGCACTCGTGGAACTGTACATACTTCCTAAATAAATCGTCTTTATATTTTGTATCCATTGAAATCAGATTTTCCCTCTGCTGGGGGCAGCTACCTCCTCTCGTTCATGGTTGTTTGGCAGCGGGTTGGGTATCTGGCGTTACGAGTCTTCAGCAATGGCAGCTGGCCTGGAATAAAGACTGAAAACAAGCACAAGTCATGCCAGGTGCACACACCCCAGACATGCCCTGCCCCTCGGGGCCCTGTAGCACAGCTCACAGAGCTGCAGCTCCCTCACAGCCTCTGCAGGACCCTCGAAAGGCACAGGAGCCACAGAAACGCCACTGTCCTGCTTTCCAACACCATTTCCCACGCGTTTTCCAGGTCCCTGCCCATTTTGTGAAAGCATCTGCTTTTCCCCCTTGCCTCTAGCGGCATAGGACTGTCCCTGGGCTGAGCAGGTTTATTGACTCTGCCTTTCGATTTCTAACATTTCAACTGACATTCCTCCTGCTGGTACCCCAGTGCAGCCAGGGCAGCTCTGCAGCCACTCCAGAGGACCCACAGCCCCAATTCCAGCTGGAAGCTGGCAGCTGCAAACACCACTGGGATCTTTACAGCAAGGGAGCTACACCTGTCACCTTCAGCTGCGTTATGGGAACTGAGAAAAAACATTCCTGTGCTCCTGTCAGGTACGCTCCTGTTTGCAGGGATAGCTGTTCTTGTGGATATACTGATCTGCATCTCCAGAGCACTGAGCTCACACACTGAGCTGAAATAGCTGGTGACAAAAGAATCTCCCAAATGCTGCTTTACCAGAACCAGGGTAATTCACAGGCCAACAGGCTCCACCTGCAATGCCTCAGGAACCTGTGATCACAAAGCAGACCACAGGCTTTATTTACTACATGAAAAGACAAACCAGCTTTTGACCTGAGGGGAGAGGAGCTGGGAGAACTCAGTGCACTGTTTCAAATGTAGTCAGTCTCAAACAGCATTTCAGAAAAGACTCTTCACCCAGTATTAACTGCAGCTGCTAGAATGCCGATCAACACTCGTGTTAAATAACTTCCCAACTGAAGGGAAGGAGCCAAAACACAAAATACCAACAACCAAGAGGCCAGGGAAACAAACAAACAACAAAATCAACAGCCTGGCAGTTAACATTCCTTGATGAAAGGCAGTGCTCAGTGCCAGCCCCGTGTGGGGAAAGTTAAGCAGCAGTTCTGCTTCTCCTGCAAGGCACACGCGCTCCTGTCAAGAGACAGGCTGTGAATCACAGGAAATGTGGAGTGCTAAATTAACATCTGAGCATAAGGGCCAGGAGCAGCCCCTTCCCTCCCCACGTTCCTCCGCAAGTTGTGCAGGATGAAGTCTGTGGACAAAGACAGCAGAGCCTGTTCCTTGGCAAGGAGAGCTGCACCCAAGAACTGCAGAGAGAGATCTTTGTCTGGCACGTCAGCACAACACCCCCAGGACACGGAGTGATCCTGTGCTGGCAGGGAGCTGCATTCAGCACCACAGCCCTGCCATCCCCACTGCCAGCAGCCACCAAACAAAGCTCCTGGCCACACGCGAGGCAGGCATGGCAGGGTCAGCGAGCCCCAGCTGATGGGAGAGCCTTCATCGAGCTCCCAGAGCCCTGCCAGCCCTGACTGTGCCCCGTGCCTGCCACCCGAGCCAGGGTAGCCAGGGCACAGCACACAGTGCCAGAGCACAGCCTGGCCGCCCTGCTGGGCTGCTCCACCCCGAGCCGCGGGCAGCACGGCCTCCCCGCGCCGCAGCCCACCCAGCAGCAACATCCATGGTTACGGCTCCGGAGAGCTCACGATGCGAGCAGGCACGGATAAATATAGGTATCAGCAGCTCCCCGAATGGCAGAACGCACAGAGGAACGAGGCTGCTTTGCCGCAAGGTGCTCACGCCAAAGGCCAGCGTTTCCCGGAGCTGTAAGAACAGAAACTCCTGACCAGAGCGCAGTGCCGGCTGTGGAGACAAGAGAACGTTTCTAACCGTGACCGTGTCCAGGGCCCAACCTCACCCGAGAGAACCAACTGCTCTGGCCGCGGGGTTGTACAAACCCCGGGCAGCAGCGGGGACCGACAGGGCAAACCCGCCCTGCTCCCGCCGCGCCCGGGGCCGCGCCCGGCCGAACCGCTCCGGGACACGGCGACTGCGAGCGGGGCCGCTCCGTGCCCGGGACACTTGTTGCAGAGCCGGGGCGAGCAGCCCCGGGCACCGCCTGGGCCTCCACGGCGGCACCGGCCCCAGGAGCGCCCACCGCCCCCGGCCGCCCCCGCTGTGCCGCGGCCGCGCCGCCCGCCCGCCCACCCGCCGCGGCCAAGTCCCCGCTCCGCGGCCTGGCCTGTCCCGTCCCTCACCGCTCCGCGCCACCGCCGGGACCCGCCGCCGCTCCACCGGAAGCCTCCGGCGCCCGGGAGGCTGCCCCGCGTCCCGACGCGCTGCCCCGGCAGAGCCGCGCAGGCCCGGCCGGTGCCGCGGACGGAGCGCGCCCGCCCTCACGGCTCGGGCAGGGCCGCGGCGGCGGCAGCGGCGGCCCGGAAGTGAACGGCGGGGCGGGAGCACTTCCGCCGCGTGATGTCATCGGGGCGGGGCGCGAGGGGCGGGGCGGTCCCCGAGGGCCGCGCTCCGGGGAGCGCTGGGAGAGAAGCGGCCGTGGAACGGCTGCGGGGCTGTGACACCACCGGCCGTTAGGGCACCGCCGTGCCCGGAGCGGCGCGGGCACCGCGCGGGGCCCCGCCCGCCGGCAGCTGCCCGGGGATGGTGGCCCCGCCCGCCCGCTGCGCCCCGCCCACAGCCCTGCCGCGCCCACATCGCTCGGTCACGCCCCCAGCGCAGGGCGCGGGGAGGGGCCGGGAGGGCCGCGCGTGCGCAGGGCCGCCCCCTGGCGGCGCGGAGGAAGATGGCGGCGGGCGGGCCGTCGCGGGCCCCGGAGCGGCGGCCGGACCCGCTGTCCCGCCTCACCTGCCCCGTGTGCCTCGAGGTGTTCGACTGCCCGGTGCGCGTCCCCTGCGGACACGTGTGAGCGCCCGCCGCCGGGCCGGGGCGCGGGGGCCGGGGCGGGGGCCGCGGGGCCTCGGGAGAAGCGGCGGCTCGGGCCCCGCCGGGGCTGAGGGCAGGGGCTCCGCACGCTGCTCTGCGCCCCGGCAGCGGGGCTGGGCAGGGCAGGGCACGGCAGGCTGGAGCGGCCTTACAGCGAGAAAACGAAAGCAAAGCGGGGAAAGGAAGCGAGGGTTCTTCCACTTTCGCTTTTCGTCTCCCCTGAGAAATGCGGGCATGGAGAGGCTGGACAAGGGGCAGCGGCCTCACACCGTCAGAGGGCAGGCTGAGCTTGGGTGTTGGGATCAAATTGCTCCCTGTGAGGGTGGGCAGGCCCTGGCACAAGTGCCCCGAGTGGCACTGGGTGGGCTTTGAGGGCCTTTGCAGCCCAAACTATTCCATGATTCTGTCCAGAAGCCGAGGGCACAGAGCTCTGTCCAACAGCAAACAATTCTGGGTGTGACAGCCTGGGATCTTTCATGCCCAGGTGCCAGCAGCTCTTTCTTCCCTTTCTTTGTATCAGAGTCTCAAAGCGCTGTTCCTCCTTTGGGCAGAGGGCACTGTGGGTGCCCAGAGGGCTGTGTCACCACCTGCTGCTTTTCTTTCTCACAGCTTCTGCACACCGTGCCTGCAGGAGTGCCTGAAGCCCAAGAAGCCAGTGTGTGGGGTGTGCCGCAGCACCCTGTCACCCGGGAGCAGGGCTCTGGACTTGGAAAAGCAAATTGAAACGACAGAAACCACTTGCAACGGCTGCAATAAAAAAGTATGAAAGGGTTTGGAAATTCAGTACACGAGATGTGTCTGCCTAGGGGAAAATAAACTGCTTCCTCCTCAGCTTTCTGCAAAATCAGGTCAAAGTGTTTGTTCTGATATGTGCTGAAGGTGTTTGATATAGGCAGCACCCAGATGTTGACATTCTTTCCACAGTTTTTTGTTGTTACCTCTTCAGGATCTGAATTTCAAATGAAAGATTCTGATTTTAAAGTTGCAGTGGGACGTTGCTGCTGTAGCAGGGGTGTATGGTAACATCCCACAGACAGCAGCTACAGCTTAGCTGATCTGTCGTCTCCAAAGTTCTCTGCTTGGCCAGCTGAACTATTTGGAGTTCCTGCTTTAGCCCTTCTGCTGAAAGCTGCTGGGGGTTACATGTTAGCTGCTGCTGTTTAAAGCTGTGTCAGGAGGTTTGGGCTCACCTGCTGTGCTGTTGTTTCCTGCACAGATGTTCCTGTCCAAGATGCGCAGCCACGCCGCCTCCTGCTCCAAGTACCAGAACTACATCATGGAAGGTGTCAAAGCTGTTACTAAAGAGCCCCTCCACAGCACCAGGTAACACCTCTGCTCTGAGATCCTGGGCTTCTCTGCACAAGAAACAATTTTGAAGTAGAAGCAGAATTTACCAATTTGCTCAGTTTGGGTGCTAGTTTTTATGTAGTTAAAAACTGAGCCTTGATCCTGCAGCTGGCTGTGCCCAGGTAAACTCAACTGCTTCTCCTTAGACATCTCTAAGATCAGGACATTCTGTAGATGCAGCTGGTTTTTAAAATACCTTTAAAATACCTTTTAAAATACCTCCTGATTGTACTCACCCACCAAGGAGGGAAGTGGGAGTTGGTGGCAGTGCATTCTTGTGGGTGGTGCCCTGACAGAAAGGTGATAAATGGCACTCAGAACATTTGCAGAAAAACTGTAATTCAGTCTAAATATTGAGTTGCCTAAAATACTGTTAGGAGTTTACAACCTGATTGTTAAAATTAGCTTGTCTTAACTGGATATGTAAATTATTGCCTTGAATGATCTGTATTTGTAAATGACCTTTTCTCCCCCACAGGAGCTTCCCAAATCGCTTCACCTTCCCGTGCCCGTACTGCAGCGAGAAGAACTTTGATCAAGAAGGGCTGGTTGAACACTGCAAAGCTTTGCACAGCATGGATGCAAAACAAGTGGTAATAAAAAGTCTTGGTGCAAGAATTGCAGTGAAGTCTGCTCTTAAAGCCCTTTGAAACAATGAGTTAGGTGTAATTTCTGCTGTTCAGTCGGTGTGGCTGTGCTGGTCATGCCTCTAAGCCTGGTGTGGTTCTGCTGTCACCTTTCTGTGGCTCTCTGGTCTCCACACCCACTGCAGCTGGGCCACATCCTCTTTTCATCCTTGAAAAATGGCACACATTCAAAGTTAATTAGGGACAGCAAAGCAATAAAATATAATATTTTTTAAAAGTCAGACATTTAATTTTCTCCTCGTTTTTCCCCTTGTTTTCAGCAAGAAAATATTATAAACCGTTGGGGGAAATGCTTGCAAAAAGTAGTGTATCATTCTAGTAACCTATCTGTGTTACTTCCTCTTATGTAAGAGGAATTGCAAAATATGGAACTGAATTGGAAACTTTCATTTTTCTGGGAAGTTTTTCGGAATTCTAAATTGTTCAGGAAGATAAAGTTCCTTTTTTCTCTGGGAGAGAAGTGAACTTTGCAGAGAAGACCAAGGAAACTTTCCTGCCACTGTGAAATGAAGGCTGAAATCTCCTAAAGCGAGAGGCTTTAATGAGTTCTGATTTTCAGAACGTGGGAGAAGAGTAGGCCATTCCATTTCAGGGATCTAAGACATTAATTAAAATTATTCAGGGTTATCTGAGGCTTTTGCATTCAATGTTCCAGCAAGTTATTGGCCAGCCCTTTGCATACAGAACAGTGACAGCACAAACCCTCAGCTCCCCTCCCCAGGCTGTCCCTGCCCTTCTGCTGTCAGCATTTAGGCACTGAAGCATTGGCCCTAACTGTTTTTCCCTTGAAGGTGTGCCCAATTTGTGCCTCAATGCCGTGGGGGGACCCCAACTACAGGAGTGCAAACTTCATGGAGCACCTGCAGAGACGCCATCGCTTTTCCTACGACACCTTTGTGGTAGGTGTTGGCTCACCCTGCAGCACACCTGGGGCTCCCTGGCTCTGCTGCTCAGCCCCAGCCTGCCCTGGCTGCCCAGGGAGCTGCAGCTCTGCAGTGCCACGGGCACTGGCAGCGTGGCTGCTGCAGTGAGAGTGCTGCTGTGCTCTGTTGCAGGATTATGATGCTGATGAGGATGATATGATGGCGCAGGTTTTGATGCGCTCTCTGCGGGATAAGTGATCTAGCCAGAGGATTTACTGCAAACCCAAGCTTCCACGAGGGGGAAATGCCCAGCACCCTTGCACTTCTCCCTGCACATCCCAAGATTAACTCAGGCATCCAGAAGTACAGAAGACTTTAATCCTATCTCAGTTTTGAATCCTGGTTTGATATTTCTGTGCCATTCAGTCTTTTGGTATCATGGTCTCTGACATTCAGCCCTGCCAGCTCCATTTTTCTACTTGCTTAGACTCAGTTTCATTGTAGATCAACACGTGAGAACCAAGGCTTTTTCTTTACCTATGCCTATAGGTTTCTTTGGAGGTCGTGTTTATTTGACTGTCTAAAATCAAAAACATTCCAAATGGAATGGCCTGAACTAGTTAATGAATATCCTCCTAATCTCATTTACATATCTCAAGTGATTGTATGTGAGGTGTACTGGTAGCTCTGTTCCCCTTTAGTGAGACTTCAGGTGCTAACTGTAACTGTCAGACCAGCTCTCATTTAAGTGACCTCTGATGCCTGTGATTCCATAATGTCTCCCAGTGTTTCAATCCTTACAGGCAGCCTCCCAACTGTAGGGAAAACATATCCTCAGTATGAGTGTTCAAACTGCAAACTTTTCCTAGGAAATCTTTGCACTGTGTAAAAACTAGTTCAAAATACTTCAGTTCTATGCATGATGATTACTTTCCTCCATACTCTTACTATAATTTCTAGCCTGGAAAATGATCTTTAGTGTTGGTCTTAGTTAAAATGCATAAGTTTTTTAACTATCTTAGCAAATATTAATCAAAATTGCTGGCTTTATGATTAAATTGGTGGGTTTGAAACTGGTGGCAAATATTAATCAAAATCACTGGCTTTATGATTAAATTGGTGGCTTTGAAACTGGTTTCCTAGTAATTCTAAGCCTTATGCTGATAGGGGAATTCAGAAGGATTTTTTCAATACCTCGGCTTTCTATTTAAACTAAAATTTTCATCTATGTTCTTGGGTTTTCCATCTCTCAAGGCAAGCTGGTGGGAAAATTACAAGTAATTCATAGCGTTGGCATAGCACTTCCTTTCTGCATCACAGATTTTATCAGGTATTTTGAATTCCTGTTCTTCATTGAAATGTTCCTGAAGTGGCTGAAGCTGTACTTGGATTGTTTGCCATCGGGCAGTGTGTGTGTAGAGCCAGGTGTAGCTTCCAAGGAAAAGTAAAATACAGCCCTGAAAGCAGGACAGTTCCAGCCCCTAGTCAGTGGATACTCTATGTTCAAGCCTACACTTTTACCATGGAGATTCCTTAATTTTAGTGTGATGCTTTCAAGAAGTTCATAGTGGAGCTGCTGAGATCTAAGGCACCTGACCAGAACCTGTAAATCAGTGTTGAGATGTCAAATGCAAGTGTTGTAATTGGAGCAGTGGGCCTGCACCACCCCAGAACTGAGTATTAATTAATTGTTTGAGCAGTAAGCTCCTCCCATTGTGCTCTGCAGACAGCAGCACAGCCTTACCCTGAAAATAATGAAACACACTGCAGCTAAAACCTCATGGTTCAGCCTTGTGTGCAGGCACCTCTGCTGCCCTTGGGGTTTGTGTTTCTGTGCCCTGGTAGGAGCTGTTACACTCCCAGCCTGAGCTGGGGTGGGCACTGGGAGCCCAGTGCTGGGGGCTGGGAGGTGTGGATCCCCCTGGCTGTGTGGGGAGGGAGCTGTGCTTGGGGTGGTTATTGCAGTGCTTGGCCTGCAGAGAGCTGAAGGGCTCATGGGCTTGGATGGGGATCTCTGGGCTCTGGTCACAGTGCAGTTTGGTGATGCCCATTGCCAGGAATCCAGATTCCTGCTGCTGTTCTAAGTGCACTTCCATGCAACTCTGATAAAATGTTTAAGGAGCAATTAGAAGCTTCCAAGCAATTAATTTGTCATGTTTTTGACTTTTGAAGTTACAAATAAAGGCCATTTAATTTATAAAATCCTACCTTTGTGTCAGCTCTTGTCATTTCTCCCTCACGGTCCTCGTGTTTCCTTTGAGCAGGCAGTGTTTGCCCTTGCTGGGGTGTGCCCGACTGACTCCTGATGGATTTAAAGGCACTGGTGGGAGGCACCTGTGTGTGCACAGCCTGGCTCATCTCCTTTGGGTGCTGGGAAAGCCTCGGTAGAGCACAAACCAGCTGGGGCTCCCAAAGGCCCTGGGTGTCCCCAGTTGGGGCTCCCAAAGGCCCTGGGTGTCCCCAGTTGGGGCTCCCAAAGGCGCGATGGGTGTCCCCAATTGGAGTTCCCAAAGGCAGTGAGGGGCTCCCAAAGGCCCTGGGTGTCCCCAGCTGGGCTCCCAAGGGCCGTGGGTGTCCCCATTTGGGGCTCCCAAGGCCCTGGGTGTCCCCATTTGGGGCTCCCAAAGGCCCTGGGTGTCCCCATTTGGGGCTCCCGAAGGCCCTGGGTGTCCCCATTTGGGGCTCCCAAGGGCCGTGGGTGTCCCCGGAAGGGCTCCGTGCTGCTCGCGCCTAGTCAGCAGCTGATCCTGCCGCTGCATTGTGGCGATAATGCAATCGGGCCAGCCCAGAGCTGTGAAATTCCCCGTGTCTGGCACAAGGAGTCAGCCCGAGGAGCGCAATTAGCACAGAGACACACAATGGGAGGAGCCGGGCTTGCAGCTGAGCTGTTCTATCGAATTTGTCTCCAGACAACGACTGGTCTTAATAGCTGTGATAAATTGTTGTCAGCATTAATTTCCTAATGCACAGGCATTGCTCCGTGTGGAATTGCAGCGGTAAATCCCCATGGTCTCCTTAGGCTGGGGGATGAGATCTTGCCAAAGCTTAAGTGCTGTATTCCAGGTCTTCGTGTCACCGGGCTGAAAAGAGAACAGCAAATTTTCTTCCAGGCCTTTGCCCAGCCGTACTGGACACTCGCTGGTGAGCCCACCTCACTAGGGATTAACCAACCAAGGCTGTGTCAAGTCATGGAAAAGCAAATGAGGGATGTGTTTGCAGCAAAACAGCTTTGTGTTACAGTTGCATTGGTCTGCGCTTCATTCAATTTCATGGGCAAATTACATTATGCTCTGGGTGGTACAAATGTTGAAACCACTATGAAAACTTTCTTTTCCTTCCTTCTCCTTCCCCAAAGCTCCAGAAAATACTCAGCACTTAGTGAAAAATTGGTGTCGCTGCTACTGGCCTAGATCTCTCTTCTAGTTCTTCTCACGTTTACTCTGTCTTTACAGATGCCGGGGTTTAAAACAATAATTCCGTGGGGGTTCAGGGAGCTGCCTGAGTGCCCCGTGCAGTGAGCGAGGGTGCCCTGCCCGGGATGAGCCCGGAGCGGCGGCTGCTCGGGGCTGCCGACGGCAGAGGGAGGTCTTGCATCTCGGAGAGAGCGGGGCTCGCTCCTCCCGCCGCAGGGCTGGGCCCAGCCCCTCCGCCGTGGGCTTCAGGGAGCTCCTGCAGCCCTGCCGTGAGGGTTCACGGCCCGTCCCAGGGCCAGAGCTTCTCTTCTTCCCAGCACGGCCTCCCTTGGCGGGAGGAGTCTGCCCTGCAGCCAGATATTCATGGAGACGTGGGGCCAGGGGAGTAAAAAGAAGCCTTTTCAACAGACTTGTTGCCCTGGAGGTGGTTGAAGTGTATTTGTGAGCTCCTTGGGCCGGTCCTTGTGTGTCCGGGACCGGAGCTGTGCCGCGGGCTGGCGGCAGCTCTGCTCTGAGCGCCCTGGGGCTCAGCTGATGGTGAGGGTGGGACGCTCGAGAAACTCACTGCCGCTTCCAGCCTGTGAGGCACTGCCGAGCCTCCCCTCCCCTGCGTCCTGCTCTCTGTGCCCTGTCGCGCTGGCTCACAGGCACAGGTAGGTCAGGTCGCTTTCTCCCTTGATCTCGTTTTTTCCCCTAGCACAGGCAAGTTTCCACACGCAGTGGTTGGAACAGATCCGATTGTGACCATTTCAGAAGGAACAGAAAACCACCTCTCTGCGCCCCTCGTCCCCGCTGTAACCACATCCGCGGCAGGTGGAGCGGCCGGGCCGGGGCAGGCACCTGCACAGCCCCGCCCGGGGAGCGGCGCCCCGAGAACGGCAGCACCCGAGCTTTGTGAGCTGTGTCCCCAAGGCCTTCGGGGGCGCTTTTCCCCCTGAACTTCAGGCTGATCCGGGGATAAGTTTTGCAGATAAACACCTGCTGAAAGCCACGGGCAGTTGGACAGCAAAAGAGGGATGATGCAGCAGCAGAGCACATGGCTGCAGGGGAAGGGTTTGCAGATGCGTCTGGTCCGGGCAGGATGCGCGTGGCTGGCAGGGCAGGCTCTCCGAGCTGTTCCTGCCCTGAGGACAGGCTGACGGGGAGCTCAGTCCCTGCCTGCAGCCGTGCCAGTGGAAAGCTTTGCTCCCACTTCTGCATTTCGCGTCGTTGTGGCTAAACAGTAAGACGCGGTCAGCAGGGGCTGGCGCAGCGGTGTGTGATGTGTGACGGCCGAGTCACGAGTGGCCCGGCACATGGCCCTTTTCCGAGTGGCAGGGCCGGAGGAGCGTTCCCAGCAGGACCTGTTCCTCCTGCGGCAGCCGCCAGCAGCTGCCTTGGCCCGGAGCTGAGCGCGGCTCTGCAGCAGGTGGCTGGAGCCGTGCCCTGAGCCCTTCCAGCGGGGAAACCCCCGTGAGCCCGAGGGGAGGCATGAGCTGGGAGCGCAGGCTGCGCCCTCTGACCGCCGCATCTCTGGCCCAGCGCCCGCTGCCCGTGCCTGGGCTCCTTCCCACGGGCACATGGCCCTGGGAGCGGGAAGCCACAGGGAGCGAGTGCCTCAGCGGGGCTGCGTCACCCGCCCTGCCCGGGGAAAAGAGTCAGGGGAAGGCAGCAGGGAAGAGAACTGAGAGCTAGCGGTGGGGATGGCTGCGCTACCCAAAACCTTCCCGGCAGAAAACAAAATGTGTCTGGGCAGGTGCTCCTGACCCCGGCAGCGGGAGGGAGTCACCGAGGGCTGTGCCGGATCCATCCCGCTGCTCCAAAAGTTACTGCCTCTTCCCAGAGGATTATTAACTGTGAAGGGTGCTGCCCCGCAGGGGCACCGCATCCCGTAGCCGTGGGGAAGGGGAAGGACAGGCAGCAGGGGTGCGGGGATCCCCGCCAGGCACAGCGCCTGCCTCCAGCCCGCACGGCCGCTCTGCCCGCGCTGGGCACGGGCTGTGGGTCGGTCCAGGCTTCCGGACTCGCGGGAGCACCGGCCGGACCCGGAGCACCGGGAGCACGGCCCGGGGAAACGCCCGGGCGAGAAGCCGGGAGCGGCCGCTCGTGCTCCGGCACCGTGGGAGCGGCCCCCAGGCTCCGTCCCCGCGGCGGGGCCGACACCTGCCCGTGCCCGCCCCGTCCCTCCCGGCCATTGGCTGCGGCCCCGCGCCCGCCCCGCGCCGCGCCCCCGGCCCCGCGCCCATATCAGCGGGAGCGGCGGCTCCGCGGCCCCGCGGCGGCGGCGGCACCGGGGCTGCAAGATGCCGCGCTCGTTCCTGGTGAAGAAGCACTTCTCGGCCAGCAAGAAGCCCAACTACAGCGAGCTGGAGAGCCAGGCCGGTGCGTGGACGGGACGGGCCGCGCACGTGGGGCGCTCCGCGGGTGGGGCGGGGGCTCCGGTGCGGGATCTCCCCAAGGCTCCACACAGGAGCCGGCAGGGACCGACTGATTTTTTCCCGGGTCGCGGATTTGTTTGTTCGTTTCAATTTCGTGCGTCTCGTGGCATGGGATCCCGTGTCCCGGGATGCTGAGGCGCTCCCCGGTACCCCGGGGATGTCGGTGGCTCCCTCGGGGCGCACATGGGTGCGTGGGGAGCTCGCCGTGCCCGTAGCGGGCGGGAGCGCGGGGGTCTCTTGGCCCCATCCCTCGCGGCAAGGCGGGCAGGGGCGCGGGGTCCCCATGGTGTGAGGCCGGTCACCTTTGCCCTGGGGCGGGCTGCGGCTCTGGGCTCCCGTGGTGGGGCCGGGGTCCCTTTGCTCCTCCGACTCAGGGGTGCGGCGCGGGGCTCCCGAGGGATGCCTGGGGATGGAGCCCCACTGAGCCCGCGGGGGTGGGCCCCGCTGACCGCCGCTGTCTCCCGCAGTTCTGGCCGCCCCGCTGCTCTACGAGACGTGCCCGCTGCCCGTGATCCCCCCGCCCGAGGTGCTCGGCCCCGGAGCCTACTACCCTCCGCTGGTGTGGGACGCGGGGCTGCTGTCCAGCCTGTTCCCGGGCGGCCCGGGCAGCGAGGCTGCGGGCGGCGCCGCGCCCGCCCTGGACCTGACGGCGCTCTCCAGCGAGGAGGATGAAGGCAAGAGCTCGGGGCCCCCCAGCCCGGCCTCGGCCCCCGCCGCCGCCGAGCGCTTCCGCTGTGCCCAGTGCGCCAAGGCGTACTCCACCTTCGCCGGGCTCTCCAAGCACAAGCAATTGCACTGCGACGCCCAGGCCAGGAAATCCTTCAGCTGCAAGTACTGTGAGAAGGAGTACGTGAGCCTGGGGGCTCTCAAGATGCACATCCGGAGCCACACGCTGCCCTGCGTCTGCAAGATGTGCGGGAAGGCCTTCTCCCGGCCCTGGCTGCTGCAGGGCCACATCCGGACGCACACTGGTAACGTCCCCTCCTGTCCCTCTCCCTCCCTCCCTTATCGCCTCCCGCTTCCCTGCTCCGCTGCCCCAGCGAATCGGCGGGCCGGCTGTTATCTGGGAAGATAAGGGCTTCCCAGACCCCCTTGGCACATCTCTCTGAAATGTCCTTTAAATATCCTCCTGGCTGGAACGGAGCGCAGGGTCAAGGCCCAGCCCGTAAATCTGCGCTGCTGCTGCGAGTGCAGGGCCTGCCCGGAGCCGGCCCGCCAGCCACGGCACAGGCTTCACCGAAACACGGCCATAAAGGGGGCCGCGAGACTGCTGGAGCCCCCCTCCCGTGCCCAAAGCATCCCCCCGTGCCCGCAGCGAGGGCTCCCAGCCAGGGCAGAGCTGCCCATGCAGCGCTGGGCGCTGAGCCCCGCTCCGGG